AATTAAAATGCAATGCCTGTAATTATTATAGGAGTAAAATAAAATAATGTGATAAATCAAACAAAAAAAGCAATGCATGTTTTCCACCTAAGTTTAAGATAAAGTTGCTGAAACTGTGGGAAGCTCTTAGCAGAATGACTGGGGCCAGAGTTTTCTGAGAAAAAAATATCTTTCTATAGCCCTAACTTCTCATAGACTGCTTTTTTAATTTTACCGTATTTATTTCAGTATAGTTCCCTCTGAAGAATTAAGCACTAAGAAACAAAAGGGCTGGAAGTTTAAATCACAGGAATACTTGCTTGGTTCTTTGGGCTTGTGCTTACAAACTAGGTATAGGGGCTATCTAACAATTTGAAAATCTTCAGGCTCAAACCCCAGATTATACTTCCTTTGTAATAAACCAGTTTTAAATACAGCAGATTGTAAGGGTAAATGTATTATTTTTCTTCTTTATTTGGTACATTCAACATAGTTTTAGATTACTGCCCTTATAATATAAAGTAGTCCAGCTGCCCTCCAAAGCACATCACGAGCAAAGCATTAATAGCCCAGTAAACAAGAAACGCCATTTTTTATAATAAAATATAATCAGTGGGAATCTGCGTGCATGCACTGTAGGTTATATGAACGTTTGCATTCTTGTATTAGATCTTCCTCAATAGCAGATGATAGGTAAAAGTTTTGCACAGAAGTTGTTTGTTTTGTTATCAGTGGTTATTCACTGATGCAGTTCGATTGTCATTTCAAACGTAAGTACAAAATGCATGTTCAACAGGATTAAAGCCTGCTATTTAAATTGAGCTGATTTGCCTTGCTGACTTACTTCCAAATTTTCAGAGTTTTAAAACACTTTGATATCAATATGTGAATACTTTGATACTTGATAAATGCATAAAGAAATATGATCATTTTGGTACTCGAGCGCGTCCCGAGGAGGGCACCGAAGGCGGTGAAGGGGCTGGCAGGCACGTCCTCGGCGGAGCGGCGGAGGGCTCGGGGTTTGTCTAGTTTGGAGAGAAGGAGGCCGAGGGGCGAGCTCGCTGCTCCCCACAGCTCCCTGAGGAGGGGCCGTGGGGAGGGAGGTGCTGAGCTCTTCTCCCTGGGACCCGGTGCCAGGACAAGAGTCGCGTAACGAGACTGTCACTTGCCTGAAGTGCCAGGGGTTTCAGCTCCAAGAACACTTTCAGGGACACGTAACACAAAGGTTACAAGGGGGAACAGGATTCTATTTTAGTTTTCTGAATCTGTCTCAGAGCCGATGCTCACAAGCATTGACACAATGTGCACATGTAGCCAGGAACAGGCTGATGCTGGTGCAGTTTGGCTTGAAAACCCATCCCCTGCAGTCTGCAAAGGCAAGTCAGAGCTGCAGAAAGTAGCAGCGGGAAAACTGGCCGAGCCGTCCCTGTTTTCTGAAGAGTGAGAGTGTGAAGAATGAGGATCAGGACCGACCAGAAGGAAAAGAAGGTGAAGAAGGAGAAAGAGGAGGAGTGTGGTGCCGTGGGGTGCTTTCCCAAGTGTGACCCGTACGGGTGCCCAGCACACCCTCTGCCTCCCCAGCCCGGCTCCCCCGCTGTGCTGCTTGGCCAGCGATGCGTGAGCAGCGCTCCCGTGCCTGCCCGGCGCTGGGGCTGGGGCAGGGAGAGCTGGAAAGTGGCAGCTCCGGGCGGTGCCGCGAGCCTGGAGCCCTCCCGAGCCCGGGCTGCTGTGCACAGGCCAGAGCCCCCGGGGACATGGAGCCAAGGGAAGAGCAGAGCTCGCTGCCGCTGCGAGCTGGCCGTGGGCGAGAGAGCCCGAGAGAGCCCGGGCACGAGTGGGGCCGTGGGGGTGCGAGAGCCGCAGGCGAGAGCCGAGCCGAAAGGGCCCGCGGGAGCCTGACCCGGGGCCGTGCTCAGTGCCACGGAGGACAAGCAGCAACCCCCGGGGCCACCCTGGGGCCCCCCGGGAGTCTAGAAAGCTTCCTCCCCCCAGCTGCGGGGCACGAGGGCCACCTTCGTGGAGCAGGAGCAGAGCACCCTGCCAAAATGGCCCAAAGGAGCCCTGACATGGGGCTGTGCTCAGTGCTGCAGAGGCAGGCAAAAACCCCCAGGGACACTTGCTATCCCACCCTGGGGGAAAAAAAGCCTTCCTCCCCCCAGCTGCGGGGCACGAGAGGCCATCTTCGTGGTGCACGAGCAGCAGGCAGTAACCTAGCCGGAATGGAGTGGAGGAGCCCTGGCAAGTGGTGATGCTCAATGCTGCAGAGGAAGGCAAAAAACCCCCGGGGACCAGTGCCAATCTGCCCCGGGGGAAAATTCCTTCCTGACCCCGTTGCTGGCGATCGGCTGCTCCCTGAGCATGTGAGCAAGACCTGCTCCTCGTCCCACAGGCTGGTCACGCCTCCCAGGTGATGCCCCAGCCCTGTTCTCCCTCACCTCGGGGGCTTCCCAGGGTGGCAAAAGGCCCCGGCCTGATCGACCTTGGGGGCAGGAATCCTTCCCGTACCTGGCAGGGCACCAGTGGGTGCTCCAAAGCTCTGGGAGGCCTGGCAACATCTCTGCATCCCATTTCTTACGGCTGCTGCCCCTGGCTCCATGGGGGACGAGGATGGTGAGCTCTGCAGTGCTCCTCAGGAAGGCATTCCCTCCGTCTGGCCACGGCTGTCTGGCTGAAAAGGCCCAAAAGCCTCGGGCACCTCCAGGGCTTGGTGTTTCTTCTCATCTCCTGAGGGGTCGCGTCTGTTCCCCAAAGGCTGAAGCAGGATTTCCATCCATCCGATGAGCTTTGAAGCTGGCCCTGATAAGAGCTGACCTTGCAGCAGAGATGCTGCAGCAGCCTCGTCCAGGCCCTGGTCTTCCTCCCTCAGCCCCCCCAGGTAATCCCACCTCCCCCCAAGGATCTCCTCTGGGATGTCTTCGGGCTGCCCCCGGGCCAGCTCTGGCAGGGACACGGGAGGACGCTCCCTTTTATCCTGCCCCGGGGCACTGTGACGGCTGCGTTGCCGGGTGCTGCCATTGTGACACGGGGGTGACGGGGCCCCCACGCGCAGCCCCCTCCCCGCCCCAGCCCCCTTGGGAGCGAGGCCTGTGCCCAGGAGGCCCCGGGGCCTGTCCCTGCCCTTGGTGGCCATGCTCTGGGCCCAGCTGCGGGGCGTCCCCGACGTGTCCTCTGCCGCTCGGCTCCAGGGACACACCCGGTGCTGCTCCTCTGCCCTCAGCCCCTGGCAGAAGCCAACCACCGCAACCATCCCCTCCTCAGGTCCTGAGGAGGGGCTAGGAGGGCATATTTATGCAATCTCCCACTTCTCCATTTACCTGTACTGATGAGCAGCCAATGCATAAGAGCACTGAGGGACCTGAGCGTGCAGCCTGACGAGGTGGGCAGGCAATGACGCAGTGTTACGACCTGGACTGGAAACCCAGGTAGTTGTAAAGATTCTCTGATCCCCTCGGATTAAATTAAGGTGAAACAACACCAAACGACTGTTTAAAATGTTTTACTTGTGGTAGAAAATACTTGGAAAAGGATAGTAAACAATGGGCTCTCTTACTGATAAATCTATAAGAAAGAAAATAAAGAAAAGGAAAGGAGAAGAGTCTGGTCACCACCCCTCATTCCAGCGTTGTCTCAGGTCTGGAAATCTTGGGTGGTGGGTGCACGCAAAGTAAAGCTTTCTGTTGTCTTTTAAATTCATCCTTATCAGCTGATTAGCGCAGTAGAGAAAGAGAGGCAGGTATTCCAGGAGGAAAGGGTGGAGCATGGGTTCTGCACATGCATTGAGGGGGAGTGAGGTGACACCAATCCCCTTGACAATCAAGTTGGTGGTCATGCTCGCTCCCCCACCCTTACTTTTCCCTCAGTTTTTGCCTAGGTCATTCTGGTGCTGGTTATTTATCTCTCTTATCAGTCCTTTAACCTGAACCCATGGTTTCACTCAGCCCACGTTTCCCTCCTTTGGGGCTTATCTAAGGAGTTGGGCAGTACAACCCCAAGGGAGTGAAGCCGTGCATCCTTCGACACACTCTGGGCCTCCTTGGGTGATGTTCCTTAGACTGATCACAAAGGCCACAGGTCTTGTCAAAGTTTTCTGTGTTGATGAATGTTTGAGGCATTCATTCCTTCAGTGGAGAAGAATTGGGTTTGGGCAAGCCCATTACAGAAACCAGGCTCAGCCACACATACAGTTCAAATCCAGATTTATTCACTGTGATGTGTGATCCAAGGTGCAACATCCTTTTATAAGTGTAATGAAGAGATCACCAGTATCTGAAAAATGCAGATTATAGATATTGTCCTCTTACTAGCAGGGGTTGCTGGCAAGAGATGGAAAGTATTGCAGAGGAAGTACTGGCAGGAGGGTATGTTTTGCTGTTTGGTGGAAAGACAGTGGCTGTGGTAGACAATACTAGTACTTGATTTCCCATGAACTTATATGGACTTACACTCAGCCCTGTCGTGTGCAACAAGGACCCTATGCAAACCATTAGCACAAGATTTAAAAAAAGAATACCAAGTTTTTAACAGAAATTAATTCTAATTTCTGCTCTGCTCTATTGTTTTGTTGTTTTTCGTTTGTGTGTTTGTTTTTGTTTTATGAGTGTGTGTTCCCCCATCCCCATAAATGTTCTCAAATTCATCTTGCCAGGACTGTCAAGAGCTTTTCCTTCAATATTTGTGGCTCCTGGGGTCACTGTTTGTTTGACTTCATTTTGTCAAATAGTTTAAAAGTCCGACTTCTATTTTTAATACTTTCACTTCACTGAGCTCTGTTTTTTCTCATGTTTTAAATAAATACACCCTGGTACTTTTAAACCGCCTTATTTAGAAATGTGATTTGTAGTTCTGCTTTAATAAATTTAGTCACAAAACTGTTTTCTGGTACCTTAGCACTTGGTCTGTCACAGTTTGGGGAAGTTGAAACAAACATGTAAACAGGAAAATAGTATTTTTATACATGTTTTGAACGACACAAATGGTGCAGGAAATAAATCAGTGAGGAACTAATTCATTATAGTAGCCAGTGATGTGTCTAGTATCAATTTGAAATATGTTGGTTTCCAGGTATACAAAAAGATGGAAAAATCTTCAGTAAAATATGTTCAGGGGCAGCCTGAACTCTGAATTTTGACCCCATCATGTTGAACCTCTGTCTCTGAACCCCAGTGAGGTATTGGGTTCTGCTGTATTTGGGATATTTCCATTGCCTCCAGAGGAAAGCCTGTAGATCCTGGGATGTTCTGTGCGAGGCATCTGGACATGCTGACAACCAACGCGTGTAAATACTTGTCTGGAAAATTTGAATGTATCCCTGCAGCATGGCACACAAGGAAGACACCATCAAAGGTGAAGTATAACTTTCTTCTATCCCCTCCTAACCACCACCACCACTTACTCCAAGACCCCTTTGGCACCATAAGGAGGTTGTCTTGAGGCAGAACAGAATTGAGACGTGACCATCAATTTGGTCCTGGTGAGGACCTGAGCGTGGACCTGGACAGTGAGGTGTTTATGTAGTTGGATTTGACTATAGTCACAGTCCAGGTTTACGCAGCGGGAAAGTTTGGAGAATAAATGGGGGGTTTAATTTTGTAGACTGGGAACCACAGTTAACCTGCTTTTTTGGTAAGACTTGCTGTTCTTCAAGTATGACAACTTTCTCATTGTTCGCCTGAGGGAGGAGAGGCAGAGTCAGACACTGAGGGTCGGCAGGGTGAGAGGAAGGCACGGGCTCTTAGGAGGCATCACAACCTCTTTCTGACTCTGATGGTAATCAAGGGAAACAGAAGATAGAACTTGGCAGAGGGAAGGGAAGTAAAAATGTTTTCTGCCTGTGTCACCCAGGCCAAGCAAAAGCAGAAAGCAGGCATCCATTGGTCTTGCTTTAGAAACTGACATTACATGCTTTTCAATATTTATGTGACCTATGTATTTATTCATGATTAAAGATATATTTCCTCTTAGCAATAAAGTTCCACTCCCTAAAGTGACTGTGGCATGAAGAATTTCTAAGTTTCCCACCCTTCTGCTCCTCCAAGATCAAGTTTGCTCCTTTCATTCAGTCTTTTGCCTTTTTTCACACCATCTGCCGGGTGCTTCCCTCCTGTCCCATCACTGCCAGACGTCACCCCAGGGTTTGTGTCCGGTTGTGCCCTCTGCTCGTGGTTAACATGGGCCAGCTGTGCCAGACACCCCTTTTCTTCCAAAGTCCTAGCAGCTAGGAGAGGGTTTGGGAGGTGAAGGGAAGGTTCGTCACCCACTTTGGTCAGTCAAGCCCAGCCCAGGCAACGCTTGGGTGTTTTTCTCTGAACTCTTGTTTGGTGAAGGAGCATTTCTTGTGCCGAAGCAGCGCTGAAGGGAAAGGCAGCAGGTCACCAAGATGCCTTGGTGCCCTTGTTTACCAACACCAAGGCCCTTTTCTCTAGCCCTGAGAAAGCCAGTGCATGAGGTGAGGTGAGGACACGAGGTGAAGACATGATGAGAGATGGGGGATTTTGTTAGTTTTGGGTTTCTTTTCTTTCTTTTTAATTTAGGTTTTGGTTTTGGTTTGTTTTTGTTTTTGTTTTTGGTTTTTTTTTAGCACATCCAGCTTGATTTGGAGACAAGGATTGTAACTGATGTAGTCTTAGCACAGAAAGCAAGTCCTCTGCGACCTGCGCCAAAAAAGTTTCCTCTGTAGACTCAGTCTGGCTGGAGCTATGAAATAACTTCCAGATGTTTTGTAAGGAGATGTGTTAGATGGAGGAGCGATGCTGGCTTACCTGTTGTTCCTCATACTTGTGGTTTTGAGTTGGGTTCAAAAAAAGAAGCCTCAGCTGTAATTATTTTGTGTGGGAGAAGTCCCTAGTTTTGAAGCAAAACTCAGCACAAAGGCTCACATTGGGATCTTCAGGATGTCATAACTATTCATTTATGAGCACAGTTTTCCTGAGAAGGGGAGGTGGAACAACAGGGAAAGCGGGAGAATCACCTAAATGGAAAAGTTTTTTTTAAAAAAAAAAAAAAAAAAAAAAGAAAAGAATCACAGCTACAAAACTCCCTATGCAACAGCACCTTGGATATAATTTTTCTCCAAAGAGATATTGCTGAGTTCAAACACTGTTCTAGTCGTTAGCACTGGCACTCAGGTGGGTTTCTGTGGAAAAGTTGTTTTTGAAAATAGAAGTCCAAAAAGATGTTATATTTCTTCCTAAATCTCTAGGTTGTTCTGTTTCTTCTTATAACAAAAACAGCCAAAAACTCAAGGCATTAAAAAACCCTAGGAGAATTAACATTTATAGTATTACTTGAAATACAAGTCTGCCATTGATTTCACTCCCTGAGAGGCAGCAGTTTGCTGTGTTTTGCAGGAAGGTTCAGCTAGTACAAGGATTAATTTCATCATCTTCATTTATTAATGCTTATTTCATGACACAGGAAAAAAATGGTATTCTCAAAGGGAGCAGGAAGGGACAGAATGGATGCCCCTTCCTTGTGTGGGTAAAAGAAGGACATTTGAAAATTAGCTCTGTTTTCAAACTGGGAGCTGGCTCTTCTGCCCCGGCAGGTATTGCTCCATCTGTGTTGGTGCTCCAAATCAGCAGAGCTTCAGTGAAACTGGAAGGGTCCATAGCTGGGTGGAGATTAGAAGAGCAAGGGATAATGTGGTGGGGACTCAGGGGAGATGCAGCCTCCAGCAGCAGAAACCAGACGAGAATAAATTTCCTGTTGAAACACGGTTCTTGTGACTGGTATCACTGGTGCGTGACCAGAAATCATTAGCAATGAGAGCACTGTCCAAAACTAGATAAACCTAGATGGTGCTGAGTTACTTTTTCTTAAGAAAAGAGATATATCCAATGTTACTAAATCCTCCTCGCCTCCTCAGCTGTATTATTGTGGCTTTAGGCAAACTCAGAATTGAGGTCTGGTAGCCCTGTTTTCTGGCCACTGCCTTGAGTTTACCCTATTGACCTTATTGGAAATGCAGCCCACAGACTGATCTTCCACCCATCGGAGACACAGTCATGGCTTATCTTGATCCTGGCTGGTTGTAAAAATGGCATCTCAAAGCTCCACACAAAACAAGGACATCATGGATTGGCAAATTCAATTTGTTGCACTTGTCACATGAAAAGAAAATTTTTTTGCAGTCCAGCAAGCTTCCCTTGCAGTATATAAGTCTGGAATTATTGATCCTATTTCAGATGGCATGCAAATCCAGTAATCTTCCTGGCGTTTGACTAGTAATTGCTAGTGTTAAGTGCTGTGGGCACCAGATTCTGCTCTGTCACTCCAAACAGGTGATACCTGCATTTGTATACACACAGAGTGTGCAACTGAATTCAACTTCTTGGTTGAGTAGACAGATCATATGAATGCTATTAGATCAGTATAAAGAAGTAGTCTGTTTTAATCCACTGAATTAAGATTATGTTTATCTGATTTTTTTTTTTTTTTTGAGTTGTGAATCCATTTTCTTTTACATATAAACAGCGAGCCCTCCAAACATCCTTTATAGTTTATATTCACATACTGACTCCTCTTGCTGGTGTGTTTGGCTTGTTGTCTTTATCCTACCATAAAATTCAAAGTCTGTTGACTCAATTTGTGCAAGATCCTTTGTACATGCTATAGCAATATGTAAATTTAAGCAGAATTGGTTTTTAGTAACCCACTTAGTGTGGTTTGTTGAAGCACAAAGTTTACAGTTTGGCTGGAGGGGCTTAGAGATGAATCAAGACAAAACACATGAAACATTCAATGCTATTAGAACATGCAGGGTTTATAAACCAAAAGGGCTGCAAAATGCTGTATTGTGTTGATATTACCATCATAATACCTTCTTTGTATGTTGGCTGTGCATTACTGCTTGCTGTTGATGTCAGTAGAGCAAATCCCCCTGGTATTGTTGCTTGTTTGCTAAATGAGCTGTCCTACAGTAGGTAGGGATAAAATAGTGGCAGAGAAACAGTGACTCACTTATCCTTTGAGAAGCCTTTCTCAACATCCTTTTGAGATTGATGAAGTGGATGCTTCTCAATATGAGCTACTAAACATCCTGGCTGGCCTTGCACCATGAAAAGGCTTGAAGAGAGCTGAGCGTGAGTGAGGAAGGGCTCAGCAAGCTAAAGCAAGATGAGATTTGCAGGTGGAATTAGGGTTTTGGCAGCAAGAAAAATGGCTGGGGGAAAGGGTGGGGAGAGCAGGCCTTGCGGGAGATCTCAGAGAAGAGAGGAGAAAGGGACCTGTAGGAAGGAGAATCTGGGGCTGGGTTTAGAAGAGGAGATGGAGCCTGAGGGAGGGTAATTATGAGCGAGAGGGTTGGGTAGGAAAGCATTCAGGAAATGGAAGAAGACAGCAAGTAATTTTAAGATGGAAGACATGAAGCTAGAGTAGTTTGCATAAAAGTAGCAATCAGGTAAAAATGAAAAGAGTATGTGTCTGGGTGGGGTAATAAACCAGGCATAAAAGGAAGAACAAAGTAGCAGAGTTCAGAGGAAAATGAGTTTTTAGGGGAGAGGACAGGATACACTCCTTCTCAGTAGCACTTTATTCTCTTCCACCATCATATTGTTCCCTGTTTTGTTCCCTGTTATCTTCCTGTTATCTTCCATGTCTTTTTCTACTTTTGCTATTTTCTTCATCCATCTGTCCGTCCATCCGTCTATCCATCCATCCATCCATCCATCCATCCATCCATCCATCCATCCATCCATCCATCCATCCATCCATCCTCATCAGGAAGAGATTCAGAAGGCAGCTTCCCTGTGTCATGTTGACTTCTGTTGAATTCATTAGATATTTTAGGCAGAGGGTTAGTTGCAGCATTGACTTCTAGTAAATTATAGATTAAGTGCTCTGTTTTCCTATTGACCATCCTGTATGGTTTACTTCCTGGGAATTGTCTCTATTTGCCTCTTCACTTGATGCAGATGTTTCTCTTCCAAACAATGCTGGATTCTTGAATTCTTTTAGTTAGCAGCTTTTTACAACATTTGCATACTGCTGAAAATCCTTCTGTGTTGAGGGAAATCTCATAGGTCATTGGGAAATGCAATAAAAAGAGACCATTTGTGTACAAGGATCAATAAATCTGAATGCAATTGTAGAAAGTGAGAGGAAACAGTGTGTCATGAAAGAAGAGGAAAAGGCTAAATTGGACCCCTGAGTGAGAATGCTACCGACAGTAGAAAACATTACTATCTCTTTTGTTAGAAAATCCTGTGCAATGCAAAGTAATCATAACTGACCAAAATTAACAGGACCTACTGTGACATTGAAAGAGTTAAAAAGAAATAAGTTAGTACTGTAGATGTAGAAAAGAATTTTGAGAGTTTATAAAATTTGCATGGTTCAAGGAGGTC